CACCGTTAGGTAACCAGAGGCGACCTTTGGAACGAGGTGTTCGAAGGCACTCCGACTCAGTGTTATCTCTCCCACCTAGAACAGATGAAAATTCTCCGACAACAATAACACAACTTAAAAACCAAATCAAGTCTCTGGAGGAAAGAATAGAAGCTGTAGAGACTCAAATGGTTGCATTTGAGAAAGGTAACTATGCAATTAAAGGATTTGTTTCTCTAACTATGCGAGAAGGGATGGTAAATGATAAAATGTCACAATCTAATTAAAAAGTAAATGAATATCTCTATCGTCTCTAATATAGAGGAAATATCACACTAAAAAATAAAGTAAAAACTTTAATATTTTAGGTGCCAAATCTTCAATCCACTGACCAATCTATTGGATACAAAACGGTTACTAAGTTTTATTCATTAGATCTGCTAATTCTCTGGAAACATCTGTTAAATATTATCGGTTATTTTGTTAAATCGCCAATGTGAGGATAAAGGGCGATATTGGTGGTAGATTCTTCACTGATTTTATTTATTCTGGGTGTCCTGCTGATATTGCGAGCCCTGTATTTAGCATTTAGAAGATGCGTTTAATTAGGATGCGAGCGATGCTCTCGTTTATTATTAAAGATAATAGCATCCCTTTGGTCTCTTGCACTCGATTTTAAATTGTGTCTAAGTAAGAGGCAATGCTGTCACTGTCAACTTTGTCTTTTACTAACTGAAATTTAGTAAGTTTTGATGAGAATACACGCAGGCGGCCCAAGCTCCAGCTGTGAGATTATCATCTTGCAAAATAAGAGTCATGGCGAAATTATAAATGTTCGTATGGGAATATTTACGACCGCTCTTAGGAATAAAATGCAAGTCAAATTCTCAATAAAAATACCTCACCTTACTTCCACAGTGTATCGCTCGTTATCTGACCGCTTACTACGTTGAAAAGAACCCATTTTAGCAAGTTATCCATTTCTAGGTTCACTTCGGTTTCCCTCATGAGTAGTTGAGCAGTAGTTGTACTGTGCAGTCCATACTGATACTAATAGCTTGATTTTTTTTTACTCTGGGATGAACTACTGTACACAAACTTACAAGTAGCACTTAATAGTATCAATTCTTGCTCTTAGACCACGGAAGGAAGGCCACGGAAATAATTCCAGCAGAGGAAGGTAACTAAATCATGCAAACACTCAAGTTAAGCTAAATGAAATATATACAGTCAAACCTTTATTAAGCAGTCACCCGCGAGGAATGACGGGGTTGGCGCTTAATACAGGTTAACTGCTAAATACATAGGTATGGTATGATAAAAACTGATTTAAAAAAAACGCCAATTTATGCCATAACTGACAAATTATTGTGAAAAAACTTGATCAAAACTACCATTAGCATTGATTTCGGACTGAATTTTACCTGAAAGATTATTCTTAGTTGGTGGAGGACTTTCTGAGGGGATCACATGGTTTTCATGG